ATTGTATTACTAAAAAAGTTTTACTTTAGTTAATGAAGGATTAGAAATTCTAGGCAAATACATTCTATTCTGAAAGTTTTCCTAATTACAAAAATCTCGGATTTTTTATTGCTTTCGGATATATTTCTTGGTTGTCCGATACATTACATATGATACATTACTTAATGAGACGGATGCATCCAAGGGGGATGGGGATGTATGTGAGAAGAGATGCGTGTGTATCCGAAGGGGATAGGGATGAGAGGGGATATGGGTGTATCTGAGAGGGGATAGAGATGTATCTGAGAGGGGACATGAATATATCTGAGAAAGGATTTTTGTAATTTTTTTAAATTGTAGGAAATTTAGAGATTATGATATCTTAAGTTGTGTATTTATGTAATTTTTCATTGGAAAACTTACATAAATCCCATACATTTGGGGGACTAATTACATCATATCCCAAAAGTTTCCCCAATTACAAAAAATTTGGATTGCTCTCGGATACATTCCTTGGTTGTCTGATACATTTCAAATGATACATGAGATGTATCCGAGAGGAAATTTTTGTATTTTTTTTAATGGTAGAAAATTTTAGAGATTATGATATCTTAAGTTGTGTATTTATAATTATTATTTTTTTTATGATTTTTTTCAAAATAACTCATTGCACTTATATAGTCATATTTTCATTTTTCACGTGCATATCCAAAAAAAATCGCAACAATGTTTCTACACTTGGTATACAATATTATACATGAACTATAAACGATGCATCAATCATATATAATACTAGTATATAGTAGTGTATAAAATGTGTTTATATACACTTTGACACTATTAAGTATTATATAATATTATATAAACTTGTATAAAATAGGATTTCGTCTTCTCCGAAACTCCATCTCAAATGGATTAATTTTTTTTACCAAATAGCTCTAATCTTCATCGAATAGCTTTAAAATTATTTAACCACAAATCAATCTCAATCACCAATTTGTGGAAAATTTAAGCAAATCACAAAATCTATTTGTGAGTTTTCAAGCTCTTGGAAACTCCAAGAATGAAGTTTTTATTTTTTACGTTAATCCACCCAATAATGTATACATACATCTTTAATGATAAACATGAATATCACTTTCAATCAAATTTTAAGCTTCAAAATATTTTTAAAAAAATCACAATCACAAATTAAGAAATAATCATTTTTCCTCGAAGTATTTTCAAGGGAAAATTATGAAAAAAAAAAGTAAATATTTAGCATATATTAGGTAATATAGCTACAATTTAAGAAAACTATAATTCGCGGCTACGATTTTCCCAATTTTTGCTATTCGCTTGATTTGTATAATTCGTCTGATTTGTATAAATCCAGAATTTGTATAATTCGATTCCTTATTGTACAAAATCCAGAATTTTGTATATGCTTATCCTAGTTATTTGTAAAGGATTTATAAAAATTCATAATAAATTACCATGTTTGTATATTGGCAAGCTAAATATACAAACGGAGTTCTGAAAAATTCCTAAATGTATAAATATAAAATTTGTATATACTTACCCTATTTGTATATTCGCAAGCGAAATATACAAACAGGCAGATATAAAAACCGCAACCTCCATAGCATGCCGAACTATAGCTATGGAGCGCAATTATCGAAACTATAACTATAAAGCCTTATTATGTCTATTATGTTTACTATTTCTAAAATTTATACAAAATGGACTAATAGGGTAAGATATAAATATATGGGCTCATAAATTTGGTTACAAGCTTGGACCAAATGATGCCGATTGACGAAGGTAAACTTTTATTTATATTGTCATCTCAATCCAACGTAATTTTTATGTAACAATTTGAATATTTTGATTCATAATTACTAACTCCGTCAATTAATGTGAAAGTGTTTGATTCAGTAAAAAGTGAAATTTTATGAAGTAAAATAAATTATAAATATTTGTGTGACTATAAATCATTTAATTAAGGATAACATAAAAAGTTTAAATTTAAATTACTATTACCAAATATAAAATGATATCATTTCTTTTTAAACTCACTAATTTTATTTTATTTTAAATGTCAGGGCGTATACAAAAATAAAAATAACAATATGGGGCGATCTGCAATTCACTTCTCCTCCAACAGGGAAAAAAGAGGAAATAAAATTGAGTAAGTGAAGGGAAAATTGCAACTGAAACTTGAGGAAAGCAGTGGAATTAGAAAAGATATTGTAGGTAGAGAGATGGTATATGCATTATGCACAAATAAACTTATATGTATTTCACTATTATTATAGATGCAGATACAATATATATTCCACTACAATTTCTTATGCGCGCTAAATACTATATATTACACTATTATTATTATGCACACGGATACAATGTATTTAACTATATTTTGAAATGAAAATGGTGGTAGATTTTGTAACTAAGCAAAACCTCACTATTTTTTTGTAAATTTGAACACAAATAGTGTTATTTACGAATTTTTCTCCACAAATAGTGTTATTTACCAATTGGGCTGCCTTGAACTTGGGTTCCTTCGCAGCTGAACTTCAGGCCCAATTCTCAATTTTGACTAACAGGCCCAATTTCTCTTTAAAGCTCTATAAAATTTAGGAAAAATTATAGAAATCCCACTTTTTTGTTTACTTATTACCACTATCCCCTATACGTTTTACAAATCTCCAAAATCCCTCATTTTCGCGCATCAAATTAGTGTATCAGCGCTTATATTATTGTATCTAGTGCATCAGATTAATGTATCAGCGCTTATATTATTGTATCTCGCGCATCAGATTAATGTATCAGAGCTATATAAGTGCTGATACATGCGCGAGATACAATAATATAAGAGATGGTACATTAATCTGATGCGCGAGATACAATAATATAAGCGCTGATACATTAATCTGATGTGCGAGATACAAAAATATAAGCGCTGATACACTAATCTGATGCGCGAAAATAAGAGATTTCTGTAATTATAAACTTTTAAGGGATAAATTGTAATTTTGCCTTAAAAGTATGTGATTTCTGTAATTTGCCCTAAAATTTATATTCACTCAAGGCTTAGAATTTTACTCATAACGTGTATGAAAAAAGGGTATAAAAATTGATATGAAATATGTATCTCTCTCACAAAGCTTAGAATTTCACTCACAATTTTTGTGTATGAAAACGGTATAAAATTAGTATGAAATGTGTATATGATTGTATAAATTTTGTATAAAATTCATGTTATGTTTATAAAGTTCAGGTACTTTCAGCATACTTAATAAATCTGCAACAACATTGTATACAACTTTCATACAAATATAATATATCTACAACAACATATAAAATTTAACAATTGTTTTCAACTCAACATACAATTATAATACAACTTCACTATAAATTTGCTAACCTTAGATTATTGTAACTTTAAACTTCAACGAACTAGGACTGAAATTCAGTCCAAAACCGCTTAAATCTTGTCCAAGAAATATCAAATTTTAAATCAAAACGCTCCTGCATATTTCAATTCTTTTGAAGTATCATCCATTCGTCTTATCACGGTGCATTCAGAGGCCATTTGATGTAGAGATCTCACATCATATCCTAAAAAAATGATGGCAATGGGAATAAATGAATCATATTTTTCCTAGTCTTCTCTCTATTGGCAACATTAGTTAAGTAGTGAAATATTCTATTGCTTAGCAACAAAAATGTTGCAATATCATGCGATAAATTTTTGTAATGTTTGATAAATAAGCAAAAGTATATCTATGTTTAATAATATAAGGTTTTATTTAGTTATGAAGACTGATTTTTTTTTTCTAGCTTTTTTCCTTTTGGGAAATGTTTTAAGAATATACAACCCAACACAATATATTGCATTCACGTGGTGACTGTATTGGGACATTATCCAAAATCGAAATACGGCGTTTTGGGATGTATCTAAATTTCACCAAATTTAAGAAATTTTTGTAATTTGGAAAATTAGATCATTTTATTAGCTCTTATCACTATTAGATTTTTAAAATTCCCTTTTTAATTTACTTTTGTATGATTATATTTTTTGCAATAATGTTATAATGAGTCCTTACACACCACAATGGAAGGTCAAAAACAATTTTGGAAGATTTGAACGAGGTAATACAACTTATCCCTCACACCGAGAAACTATTCTAAAAACGGTAATCCGATGCATAATCATAATCGATTGGGCTGATTGAAACCAACTACTTCAACTCTCTCCTCATTCTTATTAATTCCAACCCACACAAAATCTTTCGGCTAGCTGAATAACCAAATGAGAAAATTACATGCGATATATATTTACGATAAATTACTATCGCTTAAAATATTACAATTTGTAGTTATATGTAGAGTTTTATAACAAATTTCTCTCTCCTACCTTATCTCTCTCCTCCCACTTCCCTCTCTCTTGTATAAAATTAGTATAACGTTTGATTGAGAATTTAAAAATTTGCATAACTAATATATATATATAAGTTATGAAGGCAATATATATACTATTATTTTTGGTGTTGCTTATCGTACATAAATTCTACTCCATATTTTTGTATTTTGTACTATATCAAAATGTTTGTATGGATTAATTAGCATGAAATTAGTTCATTATTATGTATATTAAAACAACGAAAGGATAAAATGAAAGGAAAATAGAATAAACTGGAATTTATACAAGATCTCAATTTATTTTTCCTTCTTGTGGAAGTAACCGTTGGAATTTTTTTAATAAAACAAAATTTATCGGCAAATATAACCATATGCATATCCTGATGCTTTTCTTCATAAAGAAGCAGCAAAAACACCTAACAAACAAATATAGAATCGCTTTCTCTGCTGACCAAAAGCCATCCTTTTTTCCTCTAATCATCCCATTCTTGAATAATTTTTTTTTATTTTCTTTTGAAATCATAGTTACATATAAAACTAACACATTTTCCTGTTTCTGTTTGTGCAATTACAATATATTTTTCTAAAACTAGATTAAATTTTTAACCAAAAACATGTCTTCAACAGAAAACCCTAACAATGGTAACAGAAACTTCCATCGTTACTGGTGTTATCAATGCCATCTCATCGTTAGGGTATCACCGGAAAACCCCTCGGAGATCATCTGTCCTCGTTGTTTCGGTCACTTCCTCTACGAAATCGATGAAGCAAACCCTGGACAAATCTTAGACTTCACTGCATTTGATCCTTCTCCAGAAGCTAGAATTCTCGAAGCTCTAACTCTCATGCTCGACCCTAATTTATTCAACACCTCTCAAGGCAATGTAGTCCCTATTTTCCGTCGTTCAGACGGAACTGAAACTCTCGTACCACCACCTACACGTGGACGGCATGAGAGGACTCGAAACTTCTGGTTAAGGCCGAGAAGGAGATACTCATTTCTAAACAACGACACAGATGAATTTACACCAGAGAGCGGAATCCTAGCACGTCCACGCTCATGGATTGTCATCCGACCATCCGGTGGACCTGACCGCAGAGAAAGAGAGCGGTTAGGTCCACACGAAGTAAATAATAGTAGAGATTATTTCACAGGTCCGGGTCTTGAAAACCTAATAGAAGAGTTAACACAAAATGATCGGCCGGGTGCTGCACCAGCACCCGAGCCAATCATTAATTCGATTCCGAAGGTGGTGATTGTGGCAGAACATTTAAAAGATGATTCAGAATGTCCGGTTTGTAAGGAAAAATTTAAAATAGGTGGTGAAGCAAGAGAGTTACCATGTAAACATATATATCATTCGGATTGTATTGTCCCTTGGTTAAGGCTACATAATTCTTGTCCGGTTTGTCGGAATCCGTTACCGGTTTCTTCTGAAGCTCAGATGGATAGTTCTGATGATTGTCTTGAAGTAGAAGAAAGGATGAACAGACAGCGGCGTTGCTTCAGACTTAGACAAATGGCAGCTTCTCTTTGGCCATTTCGTTCGAGGTATCGTCCTATGCGTAACCATGGTGAGATCTAGTTCATATACATTGTAATAATAATACGAAAGAAAAGTTGAGATAAATGAAATGGAAACTCATAGTACTCTAAAGAATGCAAAACAAAGAGGAAAATGGAAACTCCCTCGTTTCAGTTTCAATTTGATTGTCTGATTTTGATTTGATATAAAATTTAAGTAAATAAAGAATACTAGTAATTTTTATTGTTGTGGTCTTAAAGAATGTATCAAATTTCATTTAATCTTGTGATTTTGAATATGTCATGAAATTAAAGAATTGTCAAAAAAAAAAAAGATGTATTTCTTTTGAAAAAAATTAAAAAAAGAAAAATAGAACAAACAAATTGAAATAGATGAATCATCTTTTGTCCTTTTCCAGCATTTTCTGTTTTGTTTTTAGTATATTTATATTTTCATAATTTAAAGAAAAAAAACTTATTGTGTGCCTACAGATGAACCATCGGTGTCGTCGTCATGTAATATTCTTTAGCAGGGTTGGGACTGACCTGCACTCCAAACTAACTACAAAAGATTACTTGAAGAACATGGGTACAACTGAAGGTGACGGGAAGAAGAAATTATAAGAAAAAACAAAGAAATTTAGAAAAAGAGATCAAAGAATCTGTAAAGATAAACAGATATCATGTCGTGCAATCTCTTTGATTCTTGTAATAATTGGTTGAACCTATAAATATAGTTTTTATGAATAAAGCTTCAAAAGTTGGTCCACCTGACTCGTGAACAATTTAATCATAATTATGTTGGACAAAATGATAATAACACCCAGGATAATGTCCAAACTAAATAGCAATAGGAAGAGAGAAACAATGACACCAGATATTAAAACGGGGTAAATATGATACCCGAATAAGTAATACAATAATACTGATGAAAAACTTTGTAGTGTTAAAAGACTACTACTCAACACACTTTTATTTCTTACAACTCACAACAATATTACTTCCACACTATTTTCTCACAAACGAATAAATAGTTTGTGGATTACTCTCTCTACTCTTTATTGCTTCTCTATTTTAGTGTATCTTCAAGTGTTCAATTTCTACTCTATTTATAGAGTTTTTGAACATTTTGATTACATCATTAATGACATAAATGTGGTAGCCAATTTCCAAAAAATTTGGCAGCCAAACTCTACCAAAATTCTACCAAACTTTGACTACCTACTTCCACAAATGTGGCTTGCCAACTTCACATTTGTGGCAAGTAAGTTCAACAAATGTGGCTGTCAAACTAGTTGCTGCCAAGATTTTATTCCCACAAATCTCTCTCTTAATTTTGATTCTTCTTCTTTACTCCAAGGCTTGATCTTAATCTCTGAAAATCTTCAAACTTGAAAGGCTTTGTAAAGATATTCGCAACTTGATCATGAGATTTCACATACTTGAACTCTACCTCTTTCTTGGCAATGTATTCTCGGATAAAGTGATACCTTGTGTCTATGTGCTTGCTCCGATCATGATAAACTAGATTCTTTGCAAGTGCTTGCGCCGATTTGTTATCAACACAAATCATTGTGGCTTCAATTTGTGGCAAATTGAGTTCCTTCAATAATCTTCTCAACCAAATAGCATGACACGTACATGATGTCACTGCCATGTATTCAGCCTCACAAGTCGAGAGAGTAACAATTGATTGTTTCTTTGAACTCCAAGAAATAACACAATCACCCAAGAAAAATACAAAACCTGACGTGCTTTTTCTATCATCAACATCTCCCGCATAATCACTATCACAATATCCCATAAGATTAAAATCATCAGAAGAAGAATAAAATAGACCAAGGTTGATTGTACCTTTCAGGTAACGAAGAATTCTTTTAGCGACCTTCAAGTGAGTGGAGGTAGGAGCTTCCATGAAGCGACTTACTACTCCAACCGCAAAGAGTATATTTGGTCTCGTACATGTCAAGTACCTTAGACTTCCTACGAGACTTTTGAACAGAGTGAAGTCTACCTTTTCTCTAGATCATCAGACTTTGACAATTTTGTTCCATTTTCCATTGGGGTGTTCACAGGGTTGCATTCAAACATATTAAACTTCTTCAAAATCTCATTTGTATAGCTTTCTTGAGATATAAGATGCCTTCCTCCATTTTCTTCACTTCTAGGCCCAAGTAATATGACATGAGCCCTATGTCCGTCATCTCAAACTTTAAGGGACATAGCTTTCTTGAAAGCTTCAAATAAAACTGGGTTGTTACCCGTTAGAATGATGAGATCATCAACATAAAAACAAACAAGTAGAATATCTCCATTAGTATGAACTTTAATGTAAATAGCATATTCATAGAGACAATGAGTAAATCCATTGTCTTGAAAGTATTTCTCAATGCGACTATTCCAAGCTCGTGAAGCTTGCTTCAATCCATATAAGGCTTTCTTCAACCTCATCACTTTATCTTCATGATTTTTTACCACAAAGCCCAATGGTTGCTCAACATAGACTTTTTCTTCAAGATATCCATTCAAGAATGCTGATTTGACATCTAGTTGATGGATCTTCCACTTCATTTACACCGCTAAATAGATCAATAGAGTGATTGTCTCCATGCGGGCAACAGGCGGATAGACTTCCTCATAGTCGATGTCATGCCTTTGTTTGTAGCCTTTAGCCACAAGTCTTGCCTTGTATCTCTCTACCTCGCCATATGCATTTTTCTTCGTCTTGTATACCCATTTTACTCCAATTGCTCGATGGTCCTTGGGAAAAGTTGTTAACTCCCAAGTGTTGTTCTTCTCTATTGACTAGATCTCCTCCTTCATGAATTGTCTCCACCTTTTGTCAGTAACAGTTTCATCAAAATTCATTGGTTTACTATCATCAAAGAGACAACACAAAAAATCAAAATTAGTAATTTCTTATGTGTCATCACAGAGTTCTTGAGAAGATGGAGATGCAACATTTGGTGGTGAAGGAGGCGAGGTTGCATCTTGTGCAAGTGTCTTGGTCTCATGTTTTTCTTCATCTCCGAAGTATGGAAGAAAATCATATATTTTTTTCTTCCGTAGCCTCCCAGTTCCATAATGCTTCTTCATCAAATTCAACATCACGACTCACCACCACCTTGTTATTTCTTGGATTGTATAATTTCTAGCCTTTTGAACTTGGGTCATAGCCAACAAACACATACTTGACACTACGATCGTCAAGTTTAGCTCTCCCTTGATGTGGAACATGAACATAGGCTATGCTCCCAAAGATTCTCAAGTGCTTAACACTTGGCTTTATTCCGCTCCATGCTTCTTGAGGTGTTTGATCTCGTACATTTTTTGTTGGAGACCTGTTGCTCAAATAAACTGCACAAGAAACAGCCTCGGCCCAAAATTCTTTTGGTAGATGTTTAGCTTTCAACATACATCTAGCCATATTAAGAATTGTTCTATTCTTTTTTTCTGCAACTCCATTTTGTTGGGGCGAGTAAGGTACCGTTAGAGGGCGACGAATTTCATGAGATTGACAAAAGTCATTAAATTCTTTTGAAGTGAATTTGCCTCCTCTATCGGACCTTAATGCTTTTATTTCATAGCCACTTTATTTTTCTACAATTGCTTTGAAATTTTTAAAGGCAACAAAAAACTTCAAATTTTTGCTTCAAGAAGTATACTCAAGTCTTTCTACTGAATCATCAATAAAGAGCAAGAAGTATTTTCTTTTACCAAAAGAAGATGGATCGATTGGACCACACACATCAATGTGTACAAATTGAAGTGGCTTACTTGTTCTTGATGTAGTCTCCTTTGGAAAACTCCTCCTTGCATGTTTTCCAAGAAGACAAGCTTCACACAATTGATTTGGATGGTTAATTGACGGTATCCCATCAACCATGTTCTTGTCTCCCATTGATTTGAGCGCTTCAAAGTTCAAGTGCCCAAATCTCATATGCCAACACCATGAGTCATCTTGCTCATTGGCCTGCAAACACTTTGCATCGATGGTTTTAAGATTCAAAGGGAACAACCTATTATTTGCCATATGAACTTTAGCAATTAAGTTGTTGAATCTCTAAGCGAAAGATGCATATTTTTCATATGAATATCATATTCTTTTTTCAAGAAGTTGACCCAAACTCAAAATATTACTTTTCAATTTTGGCACATAATAAACATTGTTAATCAATTTATGGCCACCATCTTTACAGGATATTAGAATCGTACATATCTCTTCAATTTGGATTTTTGATGTATCTCCAAAAGACATATTACCTTTCATCGTCTTTTTTATCTCCACAAATTTATCTTTGTGGCCACACATATGATTGCTTGCTCCATTGTCAAGATATCATGAACTGCAATCATCTCTATCTTCTTCTTTGGGTGCTAATAACAATGTTGACTCATCTTTGTCTTTGTTGTTGTCAACAAGATTAACTGTCTCTTCAACATTACTACGACATTCCCAAGAGTAATGCCCAATTTTATGACAGTTATAACACTCAATTTTAGATTTGTCATACCTCATTTCATTTGTACCTTGATAGGCTCCACGTCTTCTACCTCCTCGTTGACCACAACCACGTCCTCTGAATGACTGGTGACTCTTATCTTCATTGTTGAATTTATTGGTATAACTTCTTCCTGTTCCACGACCTCCACGGCCTCACCATTGTCCATGTCATTTGTAACTTTTCTCACCTTCAAATCCTTTGAAGGATGCATGAGATTTAAGAAGTTGCTACAGTGACTCTTCTTTTCTCCTTTTCATTTTTTCTTCGTGGGCTAGTAAAGAACCTTCCAATTGTTCTACCATCATAGAGTCTAAATATTTAGACTCTTCAATAACACACACCACATAGTCAAATTTAGGTGTTAAAGAACGAAGGATCTTTTCTACCGCACACACATTATTTACTTCCTCCCCATATCTTCTTAGTTGATTTACAACAACCATCAATCTTGAATAGAATCTGAAATGGATTTGGATTCTTTCAGTTTTAAAACTTCAAAATCAGCCTTTAGAGTTTGAAGTTTTATCTTCTTTACTTTATCAACTCTTTTTAGAGAATTTTGTAAAATCTCTTAAGCTTCTTTTGAGGTGGTTGCGTCAGCCACCTTCTCAAACATACCATCATCCAAACATTGATGGATAAGAGTGAGGGCCTGTAGATCTTTCTTTTTTGTCTTTAATAAGACCTCCTTTTCATTTGAGGACAAAGTTTTCTCATTAGCGGGTTTTGTATACCTTTTGTCTACAATATCTCAAATATCTTGAGAGCCAAGAATGACTTTCATTCGTAGACACCATTTTTCATAATTTTCTCTTGTGAGACGAGGGTATTGAAAGGACAACGGACTATTATTTGTCATGGCTCTAATACCACGTTGTTGGAGAAAATGATAATCATACCTAGGATAATGTCCAAACTAAATAGCAATAGGAAGAGAGTAACAACGACACCAAATATTAAAATGTGGTAAATATGATACCCAAATAAGTAATACAATAATATTGATGAAAAACTTTGTAGTGTCA